GGCCACTTCGGCCATTTTTAGGCGGCTAAAACTCCACCTACGCTTAGGCATCCGCCTAGGCCGCTTTTTATAACACTAATTATGTTGACTTAGATTTTTGCGGTTTTTATGGGTTATAACCCACGACTTTTGTCCACTTACCATCTATTCAACACAATGGCACTTAATTTTGAGTACTTCGAAATTTGCAATTTTGATAGGTTATACTCATCATTTGGTAGTTTTTGTAAGTTTCGTTCCAATGACAACTGACAAGTAATAATACATACTTTCAACTTTGAGAATTTAGTGAGCTATAACCTATATTTTGTGTCAATTTTTATTTTTTTGACCAAATGGGAAATAAGTATGAGTACTTCAAATTCGTGACTTTCATCAGTTCATGGGCTATAATCCATGATTTTGTCTATTTTTCATTTCGACCCGATAGCAAGTAATTGTGCAAACTTCCATATCAGCGATTTTCATGAGCTATTACCTACGGTTTTATCAAATTTTATTTTTCGATCAAATGTTGAACTTAATCTACATATTCTAAAACCCCAACACACCAAGTTTGGGGTGAACCCGTCGTCGTTTGACCCTTCATCCACTCGTATCAATTTTAACGGTTTTGAATGAATAGAACTTTTCACATGGCTTGATGGAGGGTCAAACGACGACGAATTCACCCCAAACTTGGTGTGTTGGAATTTTAGAATATGTAGATCAAGTTCAACGGAACGGATCATCCATAATGTCGCTCAATCATGTGATTTTAGAGGCGTCAAGGAGGAAATCCCCTCCTATGACAAGGATACCCATTAATCTCATATATATATATATATATATTATATATAGAGAGAGAGAGATTAATGATATGCGCACTTCAAAATTCATAACTTTCATGGGCAATGAATTGTACAAAATTCAATTTTAGTGATTTTCATGAGTTATATATAAGCCACAATTTCTGCACACTATCATTCATTCAATCAATGACAAATAACTATGACTACTTCAAAATTTGCTATTTCAATATGTTATATTGACAATTTTTTACAATTTTTATTCTTTTCGGCCCAATGACTAGTACTAATATGTCCTTCAAATAAGTATGCATACTTCAAAATTCGTGACTTTCATGGGCTACAGTCTATGATTTTGTCCTTTTGTCTGTTTCAACCCCATAACAATTAATTGTGCGAACTTCAATATTTACGAATTTCATGCACTATAACCCACGATTATTGTCCACTAACATTCATTCAACCCAATGACAATTAGTTGTAACTATTGTCAAACTTCGCTATTTTGATAGGTTATAACCGATGATTTTTACAATCTTTTTTCATTTTGTCCCAATCAAAAGTAATAATACGTACTTCAAAATTCGCAAATTTTCATGAGGTATAACTCATAGTTTTTGTCAATTTTTTTTATTTTTCAACCATATGTCAACTAAGTATGTGTAATTTATAGTTCAACATTTTCATGGGCTATTGTCCATGATTTTTGTTTTTTTATTCCTTTCGACCCCATAGCAATTAATTGTGTGAGCTTCACTATTCCTAATTTTCGTGGGTTACAATACATGATTGTCTATTATCATTCATTCTACACAATGTCAACTAATTATGAGTACTTCAAAATTCGTGATTTTTATGGGTTATAACTCACGATTTTAGCAATTTTTTTTTGTTTAGTTCCAATATCAAGCAATAATACACTTCAATATTCGCGATTTTCATGAGCTACATAACCCATAGATTTGTTAATTTTTGTTTTCCAATCAAATTATTTTATGAGCTATAACCCATACTGTGTGTCAATATTATGTTTTTCAACTAAATAGCAAATAAGTAGTGTACTTCAAAATCAAGATTTTCATGGGCTATTGTCCATGATTTTTGTCTATTTTTATTTATTTCAAACCCATAGCAGTTAATTGTGCAAACTTAAATATTCGTGATTTCCATGAGCTATAATGAATGATTTTTATCTATATTATCATTCATTTGATCTAATAGTAATTAATTATAAGTATTTTAAAGTTAGCAATTTTTATGGGTAGAATCATGATTTTGGCAATTTTTATACGTTTTATCCTAATGACAAGTAATGATATGTAATTTCAAATTTGCGAATTTAATAAGCTACAACCCAAAACTTTTGTTAAATTTTTATTTTTGACTAAATGGTTAATAAGTATGTGAACTTCAAAATTAGTGATTTCATGGGCTATAGTCTATGATTTTTGTACATTTTGTTCGTTTCGACCTAATAGCCAATTAATTGTGTGAACTTAGATTTTCACGATTTTATGGGTCATAACTCGCGACTTTTTTCTATTATCATTTAATCAACGGAATCACACTTAATTATGAGTACTTCAAAATTTGCGATTTTGATAGGTTATACCCATGATTTTATCATGTTTTTGTACGTTTCATTCTAGACAACTAACAAGTAATAATATTTACTTTCAAATTTGTGAATTTTTTTAATGAGCTATAACCCATGGTCTTTTCCAACTTTTATTTTATGACCAAATGGGAAAAAGTTTGTGTACTTAAAATTTTTTCACTTTCATGGGCTATAGCCTTGGATTTTTGTCCATATTTTTCATTTCGACTCATAGCAAGTAATTGCGCGAACTTCAAACTATGTGATATTCATGAGTTATAACCCACACTTTTACAAAAGAAGTGATTTCATTACAAGAGATGAATCTATAACTTTAGAAAAGAGTGGCTAAACTATCTATCTAGATATGAGAGAAGTTAATTTATATGAGCCTTTGTCTCATTTTCCAATAAGGGGTTGTTTAGTTGGTTTCCTAAAAATCAAGAAAAGAAAAAGGATACATGGAAATCAATAAAATATTATTTTCATCCATTTTCATCCCTAAAACTCGCCACAACATCCAATAAAATATTATTTTCATCCCACAACTCATCTCATATCATCTCCTAAAAATAAACCAAACACAAGAAATGGGTCACATCATCCAACTCATCTCAACTCCATCTCATCTCATCTTTAAAAATCACCCACATCATCCAATAATATGGTGACAACTCATCTCATCTCATTAACATTTCATTTCCACTCATTTCCTCAAAAAAACCAAGGAAATTGATTTCCTTAAGTGTGGGTCACATCATCCAATAATATAATTATATAATGACAACTCATCTCATCTCATCTATTTTTTTTATTTTTAAGAATGAACCAAACACAAGAAAAGAACCTATTACAGAAAATAGGTTTCTTATAATTCATTTTCTTATTTTTTTAGCCAACCAAACAACCTCAAAACAAGTTTTCTTAAAAAATCACCCACATCATCCAATAATAATGTGACAACTCATCTCATCTCATCTCTCATTCTTTGATTTCCTTCTTTTTTAGCCAACCAAACAAACTCAAAACAATTTTTCTTAGAAATAAGTTTCTTATTCTTTGATTTCCCTCTTTTTTAGCAAACAAACAGCCCCTAAGTTTATAACTACCAATAGTACAAAAAGAAGACAAACCAGTGAAAAAGGAATGAAGGTAAACAGAAGGTCTCCATAACCCAGGACAAATCAATGGAAAAAGGAATGAGACAAAAATGGCTAAATGCCTAGTACATACCAGATGTCGAAAGGTCTCCATAACCCAGGACTATCTTTGCAACCACCTTGTTTTTATAGATTTCACTTTTTTTAATAGAGCTTTGCTACAGGGACCCAGAATATGGGACCAATAGGATGGACAAGTGAGGTGCCCTCCTCCTATTGGATAATGAGTTGGCCATCATTAATGATGGCCAACTCATTATCCAATAGGAGGGGGACACCTCACTTGTCCCCTATATTGGTCCCATATTTTGGGTCCTTGAGGAATTTTTCTTTTTAATATTTGCTCTATATTAAAAATAGGTTATTGGAAGTCTTTCTTATTTAAGGTTACATCTCACACTAATTGTGGCTCTAATCGAATTGGTTTCACTAACAATCATTCTTCATTGTAGTTCTAAAAGCCTATACCAATTACTAAATAAGGACTGTAACCGGAAAGGAACGTGCAGCTGCACCAAGTCCAGGGACTAAGGAATATATCACGAAGACTTAAACTTTCAAGTAACAAAAGATCATGCGCTATTCTTTAAGTTTCAGATCTCATGTAAAACTTTTTAAGAGTAAAGTTATACACTTTGAATTTCTAAACAGCTATCAAATAAAGTGACCTACCAAGTAACCAGTCTTGCTACACAAACAAATTTATCAGTAAAACTATCGACCTGACTACTATCGGGATCAGGTTAGTTCTAAATCTGACACCACAATTACAGTCATTAGTAACTTGCTCGTCAAATGCACAAAAACAAAGTGCTCGCAGGGAAATCCTTTCAACCGCACTGAGCACCCACGGGATTAGATAACGAACGAAACCCTAATCAGGTAAAAAAAAAACTGCAACATTTACCACAGAAACAAGTAGAGAATGAATGGAAACCCTAGTTTCCACCATTAAGGATCTCGAAGCTTGGGTTTCAGTTCGGAATGCAGTTACCTTGGAAGGATCGACCTTCTGGAAGTTCTTGACGACGGTGACGACTCGGTCGGCGACCTCCGGCTTGTCGAGGAACGTTCCCCTCACCTCC